AGCACATTTACAGCCATTGTTAAAGAGAGACCAAGACAGACAGATAGACACAGTCAACAAAAATAATATACTTGGACTTCTCTCAGCATTGACAATACCTCATAGTATTCAAATTTTGTACAACGCTTTATATTGCCAGATACCAATAAGTGTGTCATTATATTATAATTAGTAGTTAATCACACACTGGCATCTAGTGAAGACATTTTTCATTTTAATGGTAATTCAAAAGATGACTACCATGTAATTTGTTTGGAAGAAACAACTGCACAATTACTCTGTTATTAACACAATAATTACTAAATCTGTGCAGAGTATTTTATGGTCATATTACAAAATATGATGACCATCCCTACAAGCTTCAAGGCAGCGAGGTAGCCACTCACGCAATGGCATGCAATGGGAAGTGCTAAAGCAAAAAAGAGCAATATGAGTTGCCATATATTTAGAACAGCCACTATATATATATATCTTTGGTTATTCGGGTTTTCTCCTGCATAAAATTGGAAGTGTCTTGGTGACGTTTTGACGAAGTCTCATTCGTCATCTTCAGGCTGGTGTTTTCGGCTTCGTGCTTCTAGGAGCAATGTGAGATCGCAGCTGTTTCTTCCTTTTAACTGCTAGTGGGGGTGTGAATTGATTGGGTGGGAGCTTGGCTGTGTTCTGATGGGGTGGAGGTGTGTTCTGATTGGTTGGGGGTTTGGCTGTGCTCTGATTGGATGAGGGGTTGGCTGTGTTCTGATTGGATGGGGGTGTGTTCTGTTTAGGTGGGGGTTTGGTTGTGCTCGTGTTAGTCTGAGTTGCAGGGGGATTTGAACTGGTGAGCTGCATTGCTGTTGTTTGGCTTCATGTTCTTGGTCGTTCCACATCTTCATGGTGGGTGTCAGTTTGCTTCATGCATGGATTGGAGGGATTTAAAGTGGCTAATGATGCAGCTGTGGTCTGACTTCTGGTTTGTGGCTGTGCTTCATCGGTGTGGGTTTGCTTTTTGTGTGGATGTGTGGTGGTGACATCCTGTGTGGTTTTCGTGAGTGTGGGTCTGGTGTCATTCTTTGTGTTAGGGACTCGTTTGTCAATGAGGGCGGGTTTCCAAATGGCTGGTAGGCGGGAGGTATCATCTCGTTTATTCATGCTGTGTGGGCATTTTTCTATCTCGATGGCTTCTCTGATTATTCTGTTGTTAAGATGTTCGGTTTTGGCGATAGTTCTGGTCTTTTTAAAGTCAATATCATGTCCTGTGGCTTTAAGGTGTTGGACCAGGGAAGAAGTTGGTTCCTCTTTTCTGACTGAGTTCTTGTGTTCTTCAATGCATGCACTTATTCTTCTGTTGGTTTGTCCGATGTATATGGTGGGCCAGGCGGAGCATGGGATTTCATATACTCCTTGATTTTCTAATTCAATTTTGTCTTTGGGGTTTCTTAGAATGGTGGATATTTTTTGGTTTGTGCAGAATGCTGTCTTGATGTTGTGTTTGTGGAGGATCTTGCTGATTCTGTCTGTGGTGCCTTTTATGTATGGGAGGAGGGCTTTGCCGTTTTCTTGTTCTCTGTCTTGGGTTTTAGTGGGGGTTTCTTTTTGGATTAGGTTGGTAATCTTATTTCTTTGGAATCCGTTGGATGTTAGTACATTAGTGAGAGTGTGTAGTTCGGTTTTTAGGTGTTGTTCGTCAGCTAAGCGTTTTGTTCTGGAGATGAGTGTCTTGGCTACGGAGTTGATCTGTGCTGGGTGGTGGTGTGAGAGTGCGTGCAGATAGCGGTTTGTGTGTGTTTTCTTCTGGTAAATGGTGTGTCCTATATGTGTGTGTGTGTGTATATATATATATATTTATTTATATATATATATATACACACACACACACATATAGGACATATATATACATACACACACATACATACATATATTCATATATATATATCTGGTGGGTCAAGTAGATGTGACCGGCAAGAGATTGTCCCCCAGATAACCTGGTCCCAAGCCATGAAGGGCTTTAAAGGTGACAGCCAACACCTTGAATTGCACCTGGAAGCAAATTGGCAACCAATGCAGTTCCTGCAGGAGAGGTGAAACATGTGTACATCAAGGTCTGCACAAAACCATGTGGGCCACTGCATTTTGCACAAACTGAAGCTATAGTGGTCTAATGAATCATATCCTTTTGATGTGCCTTATCCTACTAGAGTTCTGAAATTGTGTCCTGAAACTGTTAGCTTAATATCTTATTACAAATGCTTCTAAATATATTTATTTATTTTATTTTATTTTATTTATTTATTTGTCAAATACGTATAAAATAACAGATATAAATATAAACATGATTATGAATACAGGATAGGGATATGGGGACAGTAGGACAGGATGGTAGGCACGCTGGTGCACTTATGCACGCCCCTTACAGACCTCTTAGAAATGGGGTGAGGTCAATAGTAGACACTCTAAGGTTAAAGTAATAGGAGTTTGGGGAAGTAACCACAGAATCAGGTAGTGCATTCCAGCATTGACCAGTCTGTTGCTAAAGTCGTATTTTCTGCAATCGAGTTTGGAGCGCTTTACCTTAAGTTTGTATCTATTGTGTGCTCATGTATTGTGAGCAGAGGAGTGGAGTACTCTTCTTGTGAAATACCTCTGAACTCACTCAATTGTATTAATGTCCGATATACTGCGGATTCCAGGCAGATGAGCTGTATTCGAGAATTGGTCTAGCAAAGGTTTTGTATGCCCTAGTTTGCAGTACAATATTACCAGAGAAGAAGCTTCACAAGATTAGGTTAACAACTCTTAATGCCTTTTTGGCAATGTTGTTGCAGTGAGCTCTGGCACTTTGATCATTTGAGATGAGTATGTTTCAAAATAGGTTGTTTTAAAATGAGTTTTAAACAATAGGTTGTTTTAAAATAGGAAGTTTAAACAGTCAAGTTCCCTTTCATGTGGCATGAAACAAAGTAGAAGCTGTTTTATTGAATCTGCTCCATAGGAATTTCACCACCACAGGACTGAAATAAAAAATACATGGTGGGGAAAATAATAAAAAAAAAACCTGACCAACTCACAATATAGTAATCTCAATTTCTTGCCACCTCTATTCAAAGAATTTTTTTTTTAAAAAAATACACTGGATCAAAATAAAGGCTTCAGGGTAAGTTATCTGTGGCAGAAATAAATTGCAAAGGAAAAGGACTGAGCTTTTTCAGACATATTTCAAAGCCTCTAGCTCAGTTCCACTGCCTGCTTTTTTTTTTTTTTTTTTACAATATTGTGGCTGATGCAAAGAATAATTGCCATATAATGGGGGTAATCAAATTTAGGTAAGGAGTCAATCTCTCTATTATAATTTTAGAAAGGATATTATTATGTGCATGGTTCAGGGCACAAATCTGACGAAGTAGAATTATATTAGCAAGATCACCCACACATTCCTATGCATGGCATACAAGTCAGTTGAAGCCATTCAGACAAGAACATGTGCTACCTGTATTACCTGCAAAGACCAGATATGTTTTCCCGAGGCTGTTATTTGTAATTCTCTCTAACCAAACCAACACCACTGAAAGAAAACAACAACCACAAATACTCACAAATATGAATTCCAATCATATTTTTTTCTTAATTCCAAACATATCAAATTCTACGCATGATGAAAATTCAACTACGAATGCCAAGACATGCTATTAAGACTTGTGGACTTCAACTCCCAGGCTGGCTGAGGAATTCTGGGAGTTGAAGTCCAAAATTATGGACTCTGGACCTCTGGTATATACATAAGGTATGCTCTGGGAAACGGACTTTCTCACATATTAGGAACCTATTAGAGCTTTAAATATTGGTATCAAAATCATGGGATCTTGTTGATATGACATAGATCTTTGTGAAACCCATTTCAGTAGTTGAAATGAGAGAGCTACTGGGCATGGATGACTGCAGCCAGCCCCAACTTGGAGTTGAAGTCCACAAGTCTTAAAGTTGCCACAGTTAAATACTTCTGGGTATACATTAAGACCTGTTAAGATAGTGCTCCTCACCTGGGGAAAGTGGATCATATAGTTTGAGAGAAACTATTTTTTCTCTAATGTACATTTTGGTATGTTCTTCCTCTAGTGGGTAGGTTGGAAATTATTATTATTTTTCTATAGCAACAACTTGCCTTGTCCTCTTGTCTCCTGTACAATTCTGTGTCTCTTATTGTAGCTACTGTGGTTTCATTTTTATTTAGGTGTAGAAATGTGATAAATTAACAAATAAGTACATATTTGTATTTCAAGTTATGGTTTTATTCCATGGTTTTAAGGGGTGCAACTTGGCCTGAGATCTTAGGATCAATACTGGTTCAACAGTATATGGCATCCTTAGGCCACACTGATTGAAGGCACCACCTCCTGGCAATATAAAGAATTGTAATTTGAGAATGATTCAGAAGAAAGGGTGGTTTGGCATCTCTATTCTTTGACAATCTAAGCCAATGCTAATAGAATGCCCTGAGAAAGCCACACCTACAGTAAATGAAAGCTGGCAGAGACATACTTTTTTTTAAAAAAAGTTATAATGCCTTGGTGGAGATTGTAGTTAATAATTCTACTTGCTGTCTTCCAGGACTTTGTCTTCTTTGACTTTCCAAGTTAGTCTAATTCTTCCCAGTACTTGGTCAGCCAAATATTAACCAGATCAAGCTATTTACATTCTGAGTCCAGGAAAAGTCAGTTAGGGGCTGTCCTTACTAAGCTACTATTAATTCATGAAGACATGGCCATTGTCTATATGCATTTGGGGGCTTGGCATTTTTAATGGTGAAGTGCAGACCCAGAAATATTTTAATCAAGATAACACAACCTCAAAGGTTTCTGCATCTTTGACCTACTCAAAATATGACAAATGTGCTGAAACAGTAACTCCTTGAAGGTAGATCTAACAGGCAGGAAGAAAAAAAAAACCAAGATGCATATATAATTAGAAGGCATGCATAATAATTTGTGCATGTATAATCAGCTGAAAGAAAGAGACAAATATACCTGTGTCCTTCTAGAAGACCTGCTATGGTATGATGATGTGTGAAACGTGTAATGCAGTCCTCTGTAGATTTCCATGCTTCTGCAGTTCAGAACATGAATTTCCAGCATTCTGTAAAAAAAGATATGAAACATTCTAAATGGAGACGCACAGCAGGTGCTTTTTAAAGTTAAAGGCCTTGGCATTTGGTCCAAAAAAATAGCTTTAAAAATATCAGAGATGTCTGCCTTGCATAAAGAGCAAGTGATACAGTCTAGATAAAATGAAAAAGGTCATTGTTAAAAGGGAAAACTTTTGTAGCTCAAGAAACAGACAGAGGGGGATGTAGAAAGAATCACAATCAAAAAGACTGCTACCTTTTTGATAGTAAAGAGTTCACTTTAATTACTTTGCAGTTAGACTTCCATTACTGCCACCCTATGCTGGACCAAAGCACGGAAAGGTCAATCTAATCCCCAAATACGTCACCTGGTTTTATGCTTCTATTAACTTGCTACATTGCAATGCAACAGGTGTTTATTTAGAAGTAAATCATCCTGAATTGATCTACCAGTTCTATTGGATTGCAGTTTCCATTTTGCATTGTCTGAAGATCGGCTTCTTTTGCCCATCATCAATCTACTATCAATTATTTTTCCCAGTCAGCCTGACTCTTAGTTCCATGGGAAAAAGTCAAACATCTGCACAATGCATAATTTTCTATTACATCCTGGCATTAACTTTTCAAGTTATTCTAAGGGCATCCTTAGCTTTGGGGGATGCAATATTTCATCAGAACCCAATGAAGTTTATTTGTGGGAGATGTATAGTTAATGGAGGTTATTGTCAATTAATTTTCAGGTAGAATTAAAAGGATGGTAATAATAATAACTTTATTGTCATTGTACGGGTATACACAGTATACCCATACAACAAAATTCACTTAACACCCAAAGACCAGGTCCAACACACATAACAATCCCCAAACACACTCCCACCCAGCACAATTCCTCACCCCTAAACCACCCAAACATCCACACAACAGACCAAGTAATGCTGTCCAACAGCTCACCGATGGGGGACCTTTAGTTCATTGTTGACTGCAATTATAGCTCTGGGATAAAAACTATTCAGAAAATGTATAGTCCGAGTTTTAATTGTTCTGTATCTTCTGCCAGAAGGCAACAGTCCAAAAAGATTGTAAGCAGGATGGGAAGAGTCTCTGAGAATGTTATGCAACAGCGAGATTCGAAGATGTTGTCCAGGACAGATAGCTGGAGTCCGATGATATTCTGGGCAGTTTTAATGATTCTCTGTAGAGCTTTTTTGTCCACTACAGAGCTGTTTCCATACCATGCAAGAAGGCCATATGTCAGGACACTCTCAATGGTGCTGCGATAGTAGGACAGTATAGTAGGGCGGAAGTAGATGCTGAGATAGATATATCTTCCTGGAAGATTCTTTTACTACCTGTAGTAATGGCTGCACGTATCTTTTCTCCCCTGTCTATTTTTTCCATATTCCATAGATTCACATAATGTTTAGTCACTGCCAATAACCTGAGTAATGAGACCATGACACCAAAAAAACATACATTGAACATGTTAATTCCGGAAAGGAACATCCAAGAATTATCTAAAGGGAAATTTCAGCAGAAAAAAAACCATGAATAACCAGTCTAACTGATTCCTTAAAGATCAAACTTCAGCTGACTAAGGCTGAATCCTATATAAAGAAAAATAAAGCGATAAAACATTATATACATTTGGAGAACAGCTGCATCAAAGATGTGATTCAAAGAAACCACTTATTGCACTGGCTTTTTTCTTCTCTTGACTTGTTCCCTTTTCTTAAAATATTTCAGCCTTAAAGCTTATCTTCTAGATATTATCAGGAAAGTGGCAGGCTGTGACTGTACAGAATGTAAAGCAGAGTTTTGCCTGGAATTCTGCTAGTGCCTGGTATACTGAGTCCACTTACATTTTTACCTTCTCTTAAGCTGCAGAGAACTTTACAGAACAGTTAATGTATCTATAAAAACAAAGTTAATTATGTTTTCATAGAGATATGATACCATTCATGAGGAAGAAAAAGTTCTTCCCATGGATTGAATAAATTTAAATGCTTCTATTATTGAACTGGACATCCACACAGTTGTGAGAAAGGAGCTAGTTAACTCATGTTCATGAATTAAATGTAACCATTCCCTTAACACCTAATTCTATATACTACTACAACTCTCATTGTCATTACCTTTAACTGACTAAAATGGTGTATCATAAGGCAACACTTTTTTAACCAAGGTACTTCAAATAAGCTAATTTACAGAGTGTGTGCAAAATCCAGGACCTGAGAGTCTGAAGGGGATGAAATTTGGGGGGAAAGAATGGCTGTTTCAGTGCTACTGGTTGCTGCTGCAGTGATGTGATCCTCATTTTTAATGTTCTGTGACAGTTTTCCAGCCAGTCTTGCAATCCTTTGTTCCCTCCTCCACCCACCAGCAACCATTTACCTGCCTGCTGGAAAGGGAAGGGAAGAGAAGGGAAGGGAAAAGGAAGATGTCCAATGCTCCCTGCCAGATTCCCCAAAGAAACTCAAAAGGGAAGCCAGCAGAAAATCAGAAGTCACTCTGGCTTTTTTGCCTGTTTTTGTGTTTTTCTATTACTCTGTTTTAGAGTAAATATCTCTAAAATGAGAAGCCAATGGGGCATAGGTTGTCTACAGTAGTAGGTTGCTACCATTCGGTCCAGATCTTGCGAACCAGTAGTATATGCGGCGGGAAGCTCCGCCCACCTGCCTGGACATCATCACGGATGCTTTGTACATGCACAGAAGTGCCGCGAGCAAGTGAAGTGAGTGTACGCACACATTCGCTCCCGTTGTGAACTGGTAGCAAAGGTAAGCGGAATCCACCTCTGGTTGTCTAGTATGTTTCTAAAGACCTACATAAACTCCAGGATGGCTATCTTGCTTCCTCTTTCTATGCTACAACTGTTTGTTGAATTAAGTTGAAATAGTTTGCTCTGGAGTGGCATCTCACACAACAGTCCCTCTCAAAAATCACAGATTTGGCTCTGAATGGTAAATCTTCACAGCTACAACTTAGGACTCCAATCACTTAGGAGCTCAGTTACATCCGCTATCTCAAAAGAAATTTAAAAAGAAGCACTTCAAAATGAGGCAAAAACCAGATGTTTGAATGTGGGAGGAAACAAGCAAAAAGAAAGCAGCCTTTCTTTGAACCAGAAAAAAAAGGGGGGGGCAGGAAAAGTTTTAGCAATTGTACAGAAGGACCAACATGCAACAGTAATACCCTGCACAAAAGTAATGTTGTAATGATCACATATGCAATTCCCTCATGATTTTCACCCTTGGACATTGGTTGCACAGGTTGTGCTTGAAATTATGCAACTAAATCAAATGAATGGAAAGCTATTCTATATAGGCTCCTAACTCAGAATAATTTTAAAAATTATCCTCAAGTGCAAGGCAGAATAAATTCAAAGAACATCCTTCTCAGACATGTTTCCTTAAAATAAATTGGAGTTCAAAGTCTGTAATATTTGGAAGATTTAGAGTTGGAAACCTAACACATGCAGAAGTCTGTAAGAAAGAAACAAAAAAGGGTTCATTATATCTGTATGATCATAGCATCTGACAATAGTAACTCATTTATGCAAATAATTATTGCCTGACTGCATGGATAGCTTTGCATGCCTTTCTCCACTGGACTGCATGAAAAAAAAATTGGACATTAATTGGACAAAAATTGGAATTAAAACAGGCCTGCAACTGCAAGGCAGTCTTGAGCTCCTTCATGTCTCTGTTTAGAAATAAAGCATTTGCCACTGGGCATTAATTCAGCAAAGTACTTCACTTGATCTGATTAGTCCATTGGATTGTTGCTGAGCTAAGCCTCTGGTGAAGCATTCACTCCGCCTTTTCTCTTTACCTAACTCTCATGTTTAATAAAAGTTGCCAGGAGCTAGCATTTAAGTATGTGCCTCAGTAAAACCTTCTGCATAAGCTATAAAAGATGAACACCACTATTGGTACAATATTGTAAGCACAAGTTGAAATGAATGGATACCTTCCAAATGTCTGTATATTTGCAGCAGCATATGCTTCAGGGAATATTGACATTTGCCCACTAACAATTAATCACCCTGAAATATTTTATTCTGGACATAGGGAAAGGCAATCTGCTAGCTGAAAACCACCAAATGAACCTGTTGTTATCAATGCCACTCTGAGTTATAGAAGATAGGGAAGCAAGGTTCATCTGGAACTGCTTAAATGCTTTAGCTGCATGAAATGGACTTCATTTTATATTTGCCAACTCGTTTCTATTTAATCAATAATTTTGTATCACATTAAACAGGATAGAGTTTTCTGTGGGAGTTAGGTTGCTGTGTGTCTTCGAGTCAGTGCCTGGATAGCCCCTGCAGGTTTTTGTTTTTGTTTTACGAGATTTTGGAAATATGTCTATGGAAATATTCAATAATTCAGGTCATGGTTGTCCCAAAGGTGCTTTTCTCCAAAAGGCAATGGTACTTTCTTGATTTTTCTTGAAGGTGTTTCACTGCTCATCCGAGAAGATTCTTCAGTTCTAATTAACTGGTGGATTTATATTCTGTTCAGTCAGCCAGTTGCTAAGACTCTGAGAATTGTTGAAAGCACATCAGGGTTCATCTGTGTCCTCAGAGTCACCTGAACCAGAACACAAACCAGTGTAGAACCATTTTAGGATTGCTGATAGGACTCATTATAAGCAGGAGATAGGTTCTGTCATATCCTTCCCCCTCTGTTGAAAGATGTTCAGTTTTAACATAGATAGCCTCTTTGACTCCTCTTTCAAACTAGTAGCCCTGTCTGTCCAGAATGTGAACCTTGTTGTCTTCAAAGGAGTGGCCTTTGCCTTTCAGGTGCAGATGAAATGCTAAATCCTATCCTGATGAGTTTGATCTCTTGTGTTATGCCATGCACTTTTGGAGTGGTTGTTTTGGTTTGGTTTTGATTTTGGAAGTAGTTTGTTGTTGTCGCCCTCCTAGGGCTAAGAATGAAAGTGATTGACCCAAGGTCACCCAGGAGGCTATGTGTCTAAGGTAGGACTAGTACTCACAGTTTCTTTA